TACATAAGGGTCCAACAGATATACCATAAGTTGGCACCACTAAGTTCTGAATAAATGGATATCTCTATACAAGCGTCAAGAATAGTGGTTTTCTGAAATAACTATACACACAATCAAACTATGCGAATTCTGCTGTCAGAGCACTAGGTTGTCTTGTTCTAAAATTGGACAAAAACTTACCAGTCAGCTACTTCGACTAATGCGTAACCCCTAAGCACTATGGTATCAGTGCTGACGGATCACTGCATAATAACTTTTGTCGTGGTACTGGCTATTTATTGCTGAAAAAGAATTGTACTCCTTCTTATGTACTCAGTGTCCATCTTCTGCTAGAAAAATATCTAAAATCTTCAGGGCTCTTTTTGTTACCGTTCTGCTCAAGCTGTCAAGCTCCCGGAAAATAAGGGTTTTTGTCAAGTTTATAAAATTGTTAGGTTGGTTCGTCTTTATCTAATGGAGAAGAGTCGTTACATTTTCGGCATTGCTCGTACGATGACTTCTAGTCTATGTATGAACAAACGCTAGTTCTGTGTTTTCACAACTAGCCATTTTTTGTGCTCACGTAGGCTTTGGGTACAAGGAATCCACTCTAATTTAATCTGACATATACAGGCAATCCTCAATTATATTTAATCAGCAGTTTTTATTAATATTTTTTTTAATTCACCAGAGAATATGCTGAGAACTTGTTTTGAATCAAAAGTAATAAATAATTTTTGTGTATGTTTTGATTTTATTTTGTTTATTATATTGAAATTGCATCTAGTCTACTTAAACTATTTGATACTTTAACAAATAAACATTAAATAAGTCTAGCAATTTATACAATTCTTATACATTTTAATAATATAATTAATAATGCCAAATTTCTACCATAAAACATTGAAATTACAATTTGATATTAAATTTTAAAGGAGCATAATAAGTTGGTTATCTGTTGTGTCAGGATTTGATCATAAAATTATTTATTACTTATAAATTACTTTACTTATTATTTTAAATTTTATAAATAATTATTAACATACATATGTGTATTATATGTTCATTTAATACATACTAATCATTTTTGAACAAAATTAAATTGTAATAGAATATGTATCTTCCGTCAGTTGACATTTAAAGTACTTAAATAAATGGCAAGAAGGATTATTTGCAAAATAGAATAAAATGCGATATTAAACCCTTGTATGTGTTTGTCTTAACTTTTACTAATGTGCAGATAAAGTGTATTCAAATGTGATTTATAAGGCTTAAGCGGTATTAAATATGAAATAAATCAACAAAATAATTCCAAACATAAACACAGTTATGCAAACAATGCGTGAAGATACAAACACCTGCAGTATGCCTGCGTGCTACGAGAAGGATATTTCAGTTGCGTGTGTTATCCTTAGGAAATATATGAAATTTCAATAAACAAAATTTGTATAAAAGTTATTTATAATCCACAAGTAGCAAATAAACGTTTGTGTGTACGCACTCGAGCTTCCAGCTACAAAGAAAATCTGCAATTACAATAGTTGCAAACGTTGTGGAGAGGAAGAGCAGCAGCATTGTTCGGTATTGGCAAAAGTGTGAACTAAAGTTTCTGCAAAACAAATATCAAAAAAAATAATACCAACAGCTGCAGTAACACAATTGGGACTGCCACGGGCAACAGACAAGCAGCCAACAACCAACAGCTAACAGCTAACAGCCAACAGACACAAGACGCTCCACAACAGTGAAAAAATGGATTCGAAGAGCTTCTACATTTTGACATTGCTGGCAGCTGTCACTTTAAGAACGGGTAAGTTTGAATTCCTTCTTATTACAATTTTATTCCATTTTATTTATTTCTGCTATCAACAATACAAGAATCCTTAAAGGAAAATAATGTTTTCATATCGAAGATATTTTTTGATTTAATTTTCAAGAGTGAAATAAACGAAGGATGTGAAAGATACTTTAGAAAATTTTTTAATTAGTGATATATCTAATATAAAAATATACAACTGTGACTTAAATTTAATATAAGTTAATGATATACACTATCTACATATAATATTTGAATTAAAAAGATTGGTTGGTTTTATGATCGGTCGCCTATCAATACTACTATAATTTTTATTAATTCTATCGTGGCTCTGCCTAGTAGGATTATCGTTCTCGTTAGATTGTAGCACGGCTCTGTTAGTTTCAATTTTTCGCAGTCCTTTTCAGTTTTCCGTTTACTGTTCAGAAAACACTTATAGATATATTATTTTGCATCTTGTAAAGATCACCTTCTGCTGAAGGTGGCTGTGATCATTGTAATCCACGGTCCCCTGTCATCGAGATTAATAATATGTCTGTTCTCTTCTATCCAAGTAGAGCGTAAAAAATATGAAGAATATTATTTTTGAAGATCAATCACCAAGCTTTTTGGTTGGTTGCAGTGACAGGCCATTAGATAACTCCCATGTATCTTAATTATTGAATTTTTGCTGTTTTGCTACCATATTCCTCGCAAGAACTACTAATATAGATGAATACAAGGTGAGATGAAAAAACTGCAACCAACTTCAGACTGCTGTCATTTCTAAACCGCTCGTCCCACAGCTGTCAGATTTATTCTAGTGACAGCTCATTATATTGTTTACAAGCGCACAAAAGCATTTTGGTGGGAATTTTTCAAAAAAAAAGTTATTTGTGATGGAATTCAAGCGTGATAGTGTGATTGCTTTGCATTTGGCTGGAAAACCACAAGTGGCTATCGTTAGAGCCCTCCAGCATTTAGAAGTGAATAAATGTTTTGTGTCTCGTACCATCGCTCGTTACCATGATACTGGTAGCGTAGCCCGACGTCAAGGAAGTGGACGAAAAAAAACAGCAACATCGGCAGAAATGGTTCGAAAAGTGAAAAAGCGAATTGAACGAAATCCGCGTCGCAGTGGACGAAAAATGGCTCGTGAGCTGAACATATCGCAATATGCCATTCGGCAAATATTGAAAAATGAGCTTGGACTAAAGCCATTCAAGTTCCAAAAAGTGCAAGATCTTACTGATGCGCAAAAAAAAGTTAGACTCGAAAAAGCTAAAGAGTTGTTTCGCTTGGCCGAAAGTGGTGAACTGCCGAATTTGGTTTTCTCCGATGAGAAACCATTCGTTATCCAGCAGTTTGTAAACAAACAAAATGATCGTGTTTACTTGCCAGAGAGGTCAGCTGAAAATTTGCAACTTCGGTTGGCCATCACAACTCAAAAGCCGGCCATGGTGATGGTGTGGGCCGCCATAACAGCCGATGGTCGCTCGCCGCTCGTATTCATCGACCGTGGGGTCAAAATAAATGCGCAAATCTATCGCGAAAATATTTTGGAGGGAGTTCTGAAGCCCTGGGCACGCAAACATTTCGGCCGCAGACCTTGGACATTCCAACAGGACTCAGCACCATCGCACTCAGCACGCGCTACCCAAGAATGGTTAAGAAATGAGGTTCCTCGCTTCATTTCCACCGCACAATGCCCACCAAAATCTCCGGATGCCAAACCGTTGGACTATTGTGCCTGGGGTATTTTGGAAAGCAAGGTTGGCACTAAAAAATACCAAAATGTCGATCATCTCAAGCAAGCGCTTCGCCGAGAATGGGACAAAATACCGCAGAGCCACTTTCGGGCAGCGTGTGATGGTTTCATTGGCCGTTTGAAGGCCATAGTTCGTGCCAAAGGTGGCCAATTCGAACAAATCTAAACCGGTTCTCAAATTTGATGTTATTTCCGACATTTTTCGCTTTCATTCAATAAAATTTAAAAAAAATGAAAAAATTATGGCGTTTTACTTTGTTGCAGTTTTTTCAACTCACCTTGTAGAGTAACTATTTTTGAAGATTTAGATCACCAGGCGCATTAGTTCACAGGTTTTTGTTGTGAATTGTCTCATTTTTCCCTGGTCTATGCGTTTGCAAAGAAAGTGCACTCCTAATTCGTTGAAGCTTCTGCATTTTTAGTTAAAAACGATACCCAATTTTTTAGCATGGATACCTAACATATTGACCTGTGGTCTTCCAACATTGCCGTGAGTTTAGGCACTTCTATCTTGGCTCTGTTTGGTAAGGTTTGCGATAGATTATAGCTTGGCCATGTTAGTTTGAAGTTAGTTGAGTTTATATTATGTGTATATTAATAGGAGTAAGATCTTTTAATATGATCATTTATTCTTTCGCATAGGATGCCTCTGATCCTTGTCTAGTCAGCTTATAATTATTTTAATATTTTCCTAAGCCTTGGTGCTTTGCAAATTATATAAATGATGTTTGAACTGGTTGTTTATTGACCTTAGTCTAGTTTTGCATTGCTTTACAAGTTTTGATGAAGTACTGTGACTGAATATTGCAAAAACCATACTGCTGTACTTTCATTTCTAAAATAATTAAGAAGTAATAATAATTAATATCTAAGTAATTACTGGCAAAATTAGCTGTAAACTGGGATTAATTCAGAATGTAGAATGTTCTTACATATACTGTGATCAGGTAATTATTGAGTACGTGATTGATTAAGGTTGAGTTGTTGTTGAAAAGAGGACAAACGTTTTCAATTTTTCTTTTAAAAGATACGCATCTGTTAGTTAAGTATGTCCCATACCCAGTAGGTTGAAATTTTTTAATATGGTAACATTTCTTCTGCTGGATAATTAGTTTTTTTATCCGCTGGATTATTTATATAATAACGATGTATACAAGTCTTTTTTGTTCAACGATGTTATTTTTGCATAGAAAAATATTAATACAAAAATAATATTTTGAGTAAAGATTTTGAAAAACTTAAGGTAAATTTGGCATACATATATCTAAAATATTGAATAATTTGCAGATAAATAAAAGGGATGTGAATTAAAATAAACTTAGGTACTATAAAATAATTTCTTATTGAACACGATATTCAATTTTATATGACCCCCAAAAATGGTTTAATAAAATCTATAAACGCTCTTGCAAATAATCATTTATTTAACAACATGTATCGAATAACCGCAGCAGAAATTCCAATCCATTTATCCAATTACACATAAGAAAGTAAAACCTGAAACCCGAAGTACATCCTAAATTGCTATCCTAAGGCTCTTAAAAAATAGATAATCACGCTTTTAGCTTAAATTTGATAGTTTTTTGCATATTACAGCAGTTTTATACCCAACGTACCACCAAGAGAAGTATTGTGCGGAGTGTAACTGCAACAGTGTGTGTTACTTGATATGGATACCTACCATATATAATTATTTTAAAATATACTAATCCCTAAATGGACCTACCTATTTCAATAAAGCAGTTCACCGCATTGATGTTGCTTAATGCGTGTACTCTTGGCATTATACATACACAATTATGCGTTAATGTACAACCTGGTATGTTCATGTATAGTTGCCTGACTTCCGTACACATCTATCTTCTTGCATTAGAAAACATAACATAAAAAAGTACTAAAATAGATCAGAAAATTGCAAATAACAAACTAAAATGTGAATTATTTATACGAATTCGCCCCCAAACGCAATCAAAGTGCGGAATAAAAGCATGGGAACACTGAAACGCTGGAACATTGATACCGTAAAGCACAAAATGGCTATTTGTTGTTTTCGTGTGCTTGTGTGCGTTGGCTGTGATGGAAGTGGTGCAAGAGTGTCTGCAAGCAGCAATTCCTGTTTACACATTCAAACCAAAAGTTCACACGCACAAACATATACGCGTGTATGCAAATATTTCAAAATCTAAAAATGTTCTCTGGCTGGCTTGGAGTAACAATTTTAAAGTCTAAACTGTGGAGTGTGGAAAAGTCAACAAACCGCAAAAGGACGTAAATAAACAGAAAACGAAAGTTTGCACAAGTGTACCACAAATGTACGAGAACCGTGCAAAAATATTTAAAATCGGTTTGGATGCAACACTCCAAAAAGCAAGCAAAGTGAATAATTATTTGCTCCAAGTATGTATAATGAATAATGCCGCAGTCTTCCTGACCCGAGATAGCGCCAAATCACAGATATAAGCTTTATTGGTATGCAAAAACCAAAACAAATGTTTGACCTAAAGAACTGAATTTAATGCGAAGAAAACTGTTTTGGCATGCAAATAAACAAAGCGGGAAAATCAAATAAATACTCGGAAAATGCAAACGAGAAAATCGAGGAGAGGAAAAGAATATAATGTGAGAAAGAAAAGCAATGGAACAGTGCTGGAGATTAAATTTTAAAAAATCAAATAAAATAACGATAAAACAATAAAAATGTTGAAACAAAAGATGAAGAATTTCACCATTAAATAAATTAAAGAGATTTTTAAAATGATTAATGCGTTTTGGAAATCATAAACAAAATTGGATTTAAAAAATATACGTAGTACTTGAAAATATATTTCTATATTAATAAAAACAAAGGTAAAATGCTCGTATATCTGCTTTATCTTATTTCTATAGAAATATAATCTGCAAAATCATAGCGCAGAATCTCTTTTTCAAAGAATATTACAAAATTTTAAAGTAGCTCTTTATGCATTTATTTATTCAGTAAAATTTTCTTTCGGAAAGTAATGCTTTTGTGAGAGCTTTATGATATTAAATATATAACTATGGTAAATCCCATTATTATTACTATTATAGTTTAAGCTTAATGTGCAGTAAAACCTTTAGGTACGACCAACCTTCCATATAAATCAACTCAATTTTTAACTTTTGAATAATATAACAAGTACTGCAGGTTAAAAAATTGTTAAAATAATTTAAATAATATTTTTGGGACTAAATATTTCAAATCATAGATAATGGATTCTGGGTTTAG